AGCTGTCTGTGTGCATTAAGTGCTCTGAGTCCGAGCTCTAAGGTCAAACTGAGACACTTTCCAGAGAGGATGTTGCACTGAGGAGTTTAACTTTTGAAATCGCAGTCCAAACACTGCTACTGAGTTAGGTCGTTTTAAGTTGACAGTGCCGCACAAATAAACCCTGAATCACACATTTTGTGGTGTCAGTGATGACTAATTGACTTCTCATAGACATGTCATAACTTGAACTGCTGACACATTTGTGGTGATCCCTTCATCCCTGCTTCTCCTCTGCCATTCATGTTTCAAAGCAGAAGAGAAAAACACCTAAATTGAAAACTGATTTCCTACTGCTGTTTAAAACAGTGATCTTTTTTTTCTTTTTGTAATGTATGCATGGATGGGATGCGTTCTTGAATGTGTAACCATCCTAAAAACACTTCCTGTGTGCTGTTCACTGACCTGGCTCTGCTGGCTGCTATCCTCTGACTGCAGTTACCATGAGGGTGGCGGTAGTGGGGGACCGGATAGTATCTGTCCTGGCCTGGGGCCTCGTCGGCTGGCAGGGCCTTAGGGCTGGCTGCGTAGATAGTGCATCCCATGAACACCTCCTAGAAGTCACCTTTAATGTCCTACAGTTAGCGGGTGTGAGTCGTCCTCAAGGTATCCTTCCTCTGAGCGGCCTGTCCTGCCCTGATGCCAGCCAGCTGCTCTGTGGAAAAGCCATTGGCTCAGCACATTGGTAACTTAACCCCTCCTTCCCTCTGAATCTCTCCTCCAGCCTCACTCTCTCTAGTTCCAGCCCTCCTCCCTCTGCAGAGCTGAGAGCATGGAGGATAATCAGATTTCACATTTACACTCACCAAAATCATCCCCGGCCTAATCACTCTCTGTCACTGATGTTGCATTATGCTATTGCATAGAGTGTACTGTCAGTTCAGGGGCATTAGGGGCAGCTAAAAATATCCCAACTGCCCGATACGAATGGATGTCGCACCAGATGCAGATAAAGTTTGAGCACCGTGTGCACATATGCAAAGCGACGCTCTCAACAGACTCAACTGTTGACAGCTTGCAAGTGTTTCCCAGAGGAGCATAACATATATTCCAGTTAAATGTATGTATGCTCCTCAAGCATGCAGTGCAAGCGAGTCAGCTGTAAAACTCAGAAAGAGGCAAAAATCTGACATTTGATCCCACTGAGACAGACTGTGGTCTCTTTAGAGACACTGCACTCATGTGGCTGTGTGCCATGGTGCAGTTTCTGCAGGCTAAGAGGTTTTTCAGACTTTTAGACTCCCAGGATGGGAAAATCAATTTACGTGCAAATTCAAACACTTGCCATACACATGCTGGGGACTTTCTGTGTTTTGTGATGGGATATAAATATTACATGACCTATTGGGTTGACTCTCATCTGAAATAAGACTTGGTAAAAATGACAAAAGGAAACCTGTTCCGATGATGTGACTTTCAAGGTTGAAAAGGAATTTTGCTGGAACGCTGCGTTACAGTCAACCTTGTCCCTGGGCGGTAAACAATAAATACAAAACCATTTTAACTGTATTATCAGCTTAAATCTACAGCACCCACCAAGCATGAGCCATTAAACAGTTCCCAAGACAGATTGTCTCATAAAAAGATTTATTTTTTTCCAGCCCAAATTTACAAAGGCAAGTTACAGAGTATTGTATAAAAAAGAACCATGGTAATGTACACTTTACACAAACTCCTGAAGGGAGGGAGAAATGAGGAGAGGGGACAGAGATCTGAATTTCTCAAACAGAAAGAAAATGAAGACATTGTAAACATCCTTGCAAGCACCAGAAGTGGTACTTTTGGGAAAAGGGGTGTGTGGGAATGGGGTTCGGGTTGGCGGCGGTTTGCGTGACAGTGGGCGGGGTCGGGAAAGGACAAACGAGCGAGTGTCTCTGCATTTTCACAGGAGAATGTTCAACTAGGCACCAATTGAGACAACTGCTGGCCAATAAATATACTCTTCACCATGAAACAAATACAGTCCTGCAAAATACAAGAGCCAAGCACTTTCCAATATGTTGATAGCAAAACATTACTTTTCTGGCTTTTTCATACACTTTAGTATATATGATTTTCACTGGGCTTTGCTTACTACTGAGATAACATTACTACTCTCAGAGAGAGAACAAATGCACTTGTCACAACCATTGTTTGATAAAACTATATGTACTGTATGCAGCCTGCTGGTACTAAAAACCCACTGACTTTTAATGACAACATCACAGCTGCCTAGATTACCCTTACAGATTTAAGTACACGTCAAACACCACCACATTCAGCTTACTCATGTCAGCCATTCTTCTTGAAAATGCGTAAAAAGTCAAAATATATACCGTCCTCGCAAGCCTCCATTAGACGGGGCACTGGCAACGTATTTACTTGGAATGTCCAAGAACCTCAGAATGAAGTGATGCAGTTTGGTAACTGAATAGTGTCTCAACAAGCAGCTAACATCCGACGTCAGAGGGTGTTAGACACAACGTTAACTGGCGGTTTAGGGATTTGACCATGTAGAGTATTTACTGAGAGAAACAGAAACGACAACAATAGGAACATTAAAAGTATAGACCCCCCCCAAAAAAAATAGGAAGAAAAAAAATCAATAAAATTAGATTTAATGACAACATGGTCAATATTCCACTCAGATTATAATCCTTTAGAGGAACATTAAGACTGCTCATAAGCCACAGCCCACATTGAACCTTTAACAATGCCCTATCCTGAATGAACCAGCACATCAAATCCAGCCTAGAGTGGATAATGTGCCCCTCCCCCAACACAGAGAAACCGAATCCCTCTCAAATCTATGCAAGTAGCATGTGTATAGAATTTCACTTACAACCCCTGAGGTATAAGAGAACTGTACTATAAAGCCAAGAGGGAACTCTGGTACAAGAGGACACGTCTGCAAATTAAAAAGAAGAAGAAGAAGAAGAAGAAGAAGAAGAAGAAACAAAGGGGACCACGTGTTAAGAGGTTGAAAGGAAAGCAGAGAGCTCATTGGGCAGCTTTGAGCCTCCCGACTCCCGTTTCGCTTTAGTTTACGATGTTCGTGTTGCTCCACATTTAGACTGGCTCACACTTCTGGTTTTGTTTTGTGGAACATCTGATTGGTTCATGCTTGTAAGAGTAACAGCTGGATTTTTAATAGTTTTCTTCTGTTTAATGTGCTAATAAACTGACCTTCCAGCATAGGCAACAACGTAACAATTAAAACTGCTGTCAGAGGCATCAGACTCATTTGCTCACTTTTAGACTAATCCAAAGCTAGCTGCTAGTTAAAAAAACAAAACAAAAAACCGTGTGTGTGTGTGTGTGTATATATATATACACACAAGCTAAAAAAGAATCTGAGGTGGATGTGTGTTAAGGTGAAGCCACATGAGCAAGCGAAGCACCAAGAGAAATTTTAAGCCTTTTCACACTGGATATTAACCTAAAAATGACATTTGATTTTGTTCCAGTTTGTTGTCACTGCAACGTACAACCACAGAGTTTGAAGACTTCACCTGTGAAACTCTGCCTGATCTCCCCGTCAAGGTCATGTTGTTGTACAGCACTGCAGGGCTTTTAGCATGGCTGCTTTTTATTCATTTCTTTATTTCCTGCTCAGACTTGTGCCCGTGCGGTCTTCACCGATGTGTTAAAATAGTCACCCTTTGACTTGATTTTTATTTTGGGGGAAGTAGAAAAAGCTGCAGGGAGCCAAATCTTCTCAACAAGGGATTGCGCTGGGTGCCAGAGCAGGTTATGCTATTTCCACCTCAGCATGCTACAGTAGAACTCCTTACTGAGACAGGAATTCATGGTGTCCTAATGTTAAATGTTGTAAAATCAGAAGCATTGCAGAAAGCAGCCCAGAAGTGCACCAGGGAATGACCCTGAAGGGGAGAGCGGCCAAATTTGAAGAAGTCCCGGAAATAACTCGTGAACTGTTGTTTTTGGAGCTGGAAGACAGCAATTCAGAAGTCTACAATGAATCAACCTGCGCATTGCTCGGTTAGGATGTGGAGATGTGAACCAAGTTTAAGGTCAAGCAAAGCCTGTGGGGGCAAATAAAGAAGCACACAAGACGTTCAGGAACTCCACAGCAACAGTGACCATCTGAGCGCATAATGGTAAACGCAGCAGTGAAAGCTATTTAACAGTTTTTTAAGCAGTTGCGTGCTGGGATAAATATAAACATTTATGCACATAAAAGTAGGATAAAAGTCTATATTACAGCAGAAAAATACATGGGTGAACTTTCACATTGTTTACAGGAAACAATCAAAACTTGACAAGCTTGAAGAAGCACAATCTTACAGTAAAACAAAAAAAACAAAAACACCAGAACACACACCAGCAGCCCGATGAGCGTGACGACGGAGCGTCCCGTGAACGGATTGCTCGCTAATGTGGCTTCACTGTTTGAGTGAGTGGCAAAAACGGAGGCGACCCCTTTGCGGTGTGAGGAAAAGATGACGGGACCGATACCAGCATCAGACACATTCGAAGATGAGCGCAATGATATGGAGCAGAAGTGAAGGAAACATGAATAGTGTTTATTCTCCGTTGAGGTGTACGCGGTCCCTTCGCAGAACGTGACGACATCATCCCTGAAACACGACGTGAGGGTTCGAGGAGGATGGGGAAACGATGATGGAAAGTTGAAAACAAAAAAACAAAAACTTCAGTCTCAGGCTCTCAAGTCTCTGATGAAAGCAGCTTCTGCCATATTCCCTCTCCCCACGAAATATAGCCAACAATTTGTCAAGTTAAGGATATACTGTTGTTTCATGGCATACGAGAAGCCAAAGACAGAGTTGAAAACAATTTCAACGTTAAATCATTTTTCTTTTTTTCTTTTCTTTTTAAACAGTCTTTAATTTAGTTTGACCCCTCTTTCCCATCAGCCACCCAACTTCCTAAAATCCCCTGCCAATTTCTTTCTGCATGTGACAAAAAAAAGAAAACAAGAACAAAACAAGAAACAATGCAGTCCAAGGAGAAAAATACAACAACAACAAAAAACAACAACAAAAAGCTGTTCTGGCAGTCCAATAGTCTCTTTTTGCATTGCATTTGTTGACAGTGCAAAGACTAGATAATCAGCGGGTTGGTGTTTCCTCTGCGTGACAGGGCAGAGTGATGGCTTTGAACCTGGGTTATATTATCAGTTCTGGTACAGACCAAGGTTTGGAGAATTTGGGGTCTTTAACGAGAGGAGGGGGAGGGAGAAAAAAAACAACAACAACAGCAACAACAGTCTGCCTTTCCTTGGGACAGAAGAACTAAAAAATATAGATAGAAACACCATTCAACTGATGTCTAAAAGGTAACACCCGGGAGATCTTGTTCTCATGTGATCCAGTCATATGAATCTTTGCAGGGTTGAGGTGTGACGGTCAGGTTTTCCTGTGAAGGATACAAAGAAAAGAATTATTTATTTACAAATATTTCAATTTAAAAAAAAAAGTGTGTGGAGAAAATACTTTACACGCATCTGTAACTCAGTTCTACTTGAGGTTTTGCTGATCACAAAGGCTGTAATTTGTGGTGCTGTTTAACTCTGGTGCATTATGCATTAGGTATCTTATTTATATAAGTGAGGTGGACAAAATAGTAGAAACACTTGTCAGTTAATGTGATACAATTTAACAGTGACTAAAGTGACTAAAGAAGCTTGATACAAACATTTAACATCAAAACCTTTTGTTAAAACTGTACTTAATTAATGTTAATACAGGCAACACATTTGCAATGGAAGAACAGAGGCATTTGTCAAATTCACTGTAATTTGACTGAGCTGCCACTAGATGTCAGTGCTGTCTGCAGTGGACTTGTGTCTTGGGCTCATTCAACATCTCTATTATCAACACCATGATCCAGTTGTCCTCAGAGGACCTACTTAGGAATGGATGAGCTGAGAGGCTAAAAGTGCTGCATATTTGACTAGATTGCAACAGAGAAGTGAGGGCTTTGTTTTTTTGTTTTGTTTTTTTGTTTTTGTTTTTTACAGGTTGCTGCATCTTTCTGGAAGCCATGACATATAAAGCCATGACAAAGAAACATACAGTTTTACTTTTAAATGACATTCTACATCTCTGCACGTACTCCTAACTTGCTGCCTGAGTTTTTTTAAGATGAGCTGCTGTGTGACGCACATTATCTGCCACCTGCATTTGTTTGAAAATGCTGCTCTCGGTAGGCTTGTGTTTTGCCTCCCTGTCGGTTGCTGGTGGTGGGTACAAGGAAGGGGTTGCTGCTTGATGGCTGACAAGCAGTTAAAGTATATTTCCTTCTTATGCTCGTTTTTAAGAAGACCCGATGGTCACATGTTTAATTTACTCTAACAGTCTGCTGCATCTGAAAGAAGTGAACATTGTATCTACAGTGAAATGGGATGACTGATTTACCTGTGGCGTAGGACAGGTCATATTGCAGGGGATATCCCAGGTGGTGGTGAGAGGGCATGATCCGCTGGGAGGGTGAGGATCGCGGTCGGTCCACATCTCGCTCCCTCTCCCGATCCCTGTCTCCCGAAGCTCCCCTGTCCTGCTCTCTTTCCCTGTCGTGGGGTGGCTTGTCACCTACTGTGGGGGATTTGCTCTTGTACTGGCTGGTATGCAGATGTAGGTTGTCCAGGGCTTTCGAGTCTGTTGCCGTTTTGGTGACAGTAGGGCTAGCACGAGATTTGTCACTGCCTTCCTCGGTTCCGGCAATTTTACTCCCATATGGGGAAAAGGGATAACCTCCAGGTAGATAAGAACCTGAGAGTGACAAAGAAGATTAGTGATCCACATATTCAGGTTTATATGGAATACAAAATTAAGATAAATACTGTTAAGATTACAATGCAATAGTTACACATTGGTAACTAACCACTTAGTTGCACAGCTCACATATCTCTTCACTAGGGATGGGAATCGAGAACCGGTTTTCATAGAAAACTAGTTCTCAGTAGACCAATTCCTTGGAATTGTTTGTCTGGCTATTCCCTATCGACCCCAGTTATTGGTTCTTGCACTTGCCAAAGCAGAATCAGTGCGGTGATTGCTTTTTGTGCTGGTTTTCCTCTGTGCTTTGTGCGGTCAGCTTTGTTTTTTTACTAAGAGAAAGGTCTTAGAGGTCCATGTTCTCATTGGTGTGTGGGGTTGTAGCCTCAGGTTTATTTTGTTAAATGGTGATTATAAAACGGTAGGTTTCAACTATTTTACAGAGTGACATTAAAGTAATGTAACGGATAGTATAACAAATTACTTTTTCTCTGGGAGTAATTAAGTAATGTAGTGCATTACTTTTAAGAAATAAAATGTAATAATGACTTTGAGTCACGACTCCAACACTGATCACAGCAATGAGGGTAAAAGCTTCAACAAAAACGCACAAACATTTGACCCACAGCATGCAATACATTTGCATGAATGTAATTTTGGTGGCGACTCTAAAAACAGAGCGAATGAGAACCCAAAAGACAATCAATAATAGAATCAGAATCGCTAAATTCTTATCAATTCTCATCCGTATTCTTCACTGACATCCAGGTTGGTATAAAAACACTACTCTTATTTACTCTACATAAAGACTAATATTTGGGCTATTTACATCAGATCCTCCAGGAATGTGTGGATTAACACAAATTCAACCATGCTACTAGTATTTATAAGTGCAAGCAATCCTGCAAAATCAAGTGAATGCAATTTTTCCCCACTCTACACCATTTTCAACACATGTAATTTTATTGATAGCCTCTTAGGGAGTAGAATCATTCTTTGACTTAAATCATGTAATTGCCTTGAAAATTACTCCATTGCCATGCTTCATTTCTAACAAACTGTACCAAAGGACTGCAATTATTTCATGAAGCTATTAAATATTACCACAATTACCAGTGAAACAACACAAAAAGTGCTGTTTTTATGATGGAAAAGAAGAAGAATAAACTAATCAGAAACCCTCACAGATTCAGCCAACAATCTTTATATAAACTGCATTATCACAAAGTAAACGAGCAAAAATTCTCATTTCTTCATGCTACATTTCATAATTGCTTGTATTTGGAAGAAATCCAAGGTCATACCTGGGTAATTCTGCATCATGACCGAAGGCATTCCCCTGTATCCAGGGTGGTTGGGGTCATAGCCTTGTCCATAGGGGTAACCATGCATGTAGGGCATGTAGCCTTGGTGCTGTGCTAGTGGTGATGAGAACTGCATATGGGGATTAGAACGAGAGTCTTTGCTCATAGCACGATGATCTTCAGAAGTGATTCTGGGATCACTGCTCTCTTTGCTGTCCTCCTTGGGCCCACTTTGACTGTCCTTGGGCCTGGGCCTTTCATCCTTCAATTTACGATCATGTTCCCGGTCTTTCCATCGAGCATGTTGTTGCTGGTGCTCATCTTCTGCTTGAGACTTCTGGCTCTCAGGGTACTGCTAGGGGCAGAAAAGAAGCTCCAAGTCATCTAAAATCACTATCACCATACTAGAGTGGTGCATACCTCACAAAGCATTATCAAAACAGTTTTACAAACATATTGTAGCACTGTTGAACTGGACTGCTACTTACCTGTCTGAACCACATGGCCTGCTCCAGCCCTGCCTGCCCTCTGGATTCAAGTGCTTGCTTGGGATCTTCCTTTCCATGGTGACCTCCTTCAGTCAGCTTCATCTTTAGTCCCTCGGGTTGTTGGGACTTTGAGTCCTCCCCCTTTATGGTTCCCATGGATTTGGAGGTCGGCTCAGAGGGGGAATCCCTGGATTTGCTTGGTTGCTGCTGCGCCTTTCCAAGGTCTGACTGACTTGGGGTTTTGGAAAGGCTTGGCGGCATCAGGCTTTTTTGTTTCCACTCATCCTTCATGGAAGATTCTCGCTCTTTCATGGCCACATCTGACTTCTTCTCAGCAGCACGATGCTGCTCAGCCATCTGTCGCTGGCGTTCCTCATACGGTTGCCGGTAGGCTGGGTTGGTGCTCATCAGGTAGGCTTGATCAGGATGGTATGCGTACGGAGGGACGTAAGCATACTGGTTGTAGTACAGAGGCTGCATGTACATGTTAGATCGCTGTTGGATGACTGAGGGTTGCTGCTGCTGTTGTGCAGGAGCAGTGCTGTCAGGTTTGCGATCTTCATGAACCTCAACCTTGACTTTTTCCTCAACTTGATCCTGCTCATCATCCCTTTTAATCTTTACCTGACCTTCGGCAGCTGTTGTACCTGGATTGGGCCCACCAGGACTGGGGTTGACATAATTGGGTGAGTAATAAGTGTCATACCCAGGATAGTAAGGAGAATCTTTGTTGGGTGTCTGATTTGGAAACAGTGCCTTTTTGACACTTTCCCTGATGGCTTGGTCCTCTGTCCTGACTTTAACAGCTTCTAGTTTCCCTTCACCATCTTCACCAGCATCTGAAATGTCTGAATATGCTGGGCTGTTGGTTTTGACTGAAGAGTTGTCAGCACCATTCTGGTTCACTACGTGAAGTGGCGTGAGAGTCTGTGGAATCCCACTACCATCTATTCGACTGGCAACACCAATGGATGGGCTTGGGGCGTTGTCAGAAAAGCTGTAAATCTTGTCAGCTTCAGCCTTTATACTGGCCAAGCGACTTTGATGAGTTTCTGACGAGCCGTTAAGAAGCCCTTCCCCCTTACTCCCCTGATCGCAAGGCTCTGAGTACGGAAGCTTTCCTTCCTCCAGTTTTCCTCCCTTTCCTGGAGGCTTGGGGCTATCAGCTTCCTTTCCACCATCTTTTTTCTTTTTGTCTTTCTTCTTCTTGTCTTTGGAGCTACTGGAGGCAGGATCTCCAATGGCAGGGGGTTTAGGCTGTGTGCCTTTCATTTGGGGACTCTTAGGGATTCCTTGCATCATTTGGGTAAGCCCCGGGGAAGAATTTGGGTTTCCAGGAGGAAAAGAGTAAATCTGCTGAGTTGCTGTTGGGCCAGGGCCAATTGGCCGTGGTGACTTCAAGTTTTTCTTATCCGTTTTTGCACTTGTGTTAGCCTTTTTAGACTTCTCCGATCCTCTCTTATCATCTATACCATCGTTACTAGCCTCATCTGTGAGGCAAGGCCCATCCTCACACCCATCCATCGGTGTACCGCCTGTTTCAGCATCCGTTTCAGCAATTTTCTTTTTACTCTGCTTTGAACCAAACTTGCCAGGAGATGGAGAAGGACTTTGAGCATCAAAGTTCCTGCCTTTTGGAGTGGCTGAACGTGCTGGAGACAGGCATCCTTTCTGAGAGATAGATGCTCCATTACAGTTTCCTGGTTCAGGATGGAGAGTTGAGTCCTCCCCATATTCGCTGTCACCATCTAAGTCCAACTTAATGTCATCATCATTGTGAGCGCGGGCTTGGTGGTACTTGAGACCGTTAATGTGCTTGTACTTTTTGTTGCAGTTAGGGTGTGGGCAGTCAATAAGAACAGGGGAAGGGCAGCTACGATCGAGGGGAGGTGGAAGTGGCTCAGTCTTAATAGAAGGGATAGGAAGGCCTGTAGGTCCCACCCCTCCACTGTTGGAATTTGTCCGCATGCGTTTGTTGCCTTTTGTGTCCTCTGAACTGGAATTGGGTTCCATGTCTGAGGTTGGCTTGGTCTTTCGTTTTCCGGCTGAAGAGGGACTGGCCTTGATGTCCTCGGTGTTGCTGTTTGGTGGGGTACGGCGTTCTGATGGTGTCTGACTGCCCCTCCGACCCTTGCTGTTAGAGGCTGCGCGTGTCTTATTATTGGTGGTGCCCTTGCTGTCTGATGAGTTGCTGTTTTCGTTGAGAGGAGTGTTGCTATTCGGTCTCATTCGTTTACCCCGACCGCGACCATTCCTCATCTCCAGATCACTTGTAGGGGATTCACAAAACCTGCAACAGATTTGTATTGTCAAGTGCCAATTATCAACATTATGGTACATAATATAGAGGAAATTTGACTAATGATTTTTGAAAATTAACATTGTGGAAACCTAATAATACTACTTCAATCAATACCTCATTCAACTTTCATTTTATTATTTCACACCATTAAATTACTCTAAATATAATTGGCTTCATGACAAGAACAGCCTGTCAAGAAAAATGACAAATCTCATCAGCGGTGCAGTCAGTTGTTTTCGCTTAATGGAAATCACCCGTGTGTAATTAAGATGTCACAAATGATTTTATGATAAATGCACTTGTATCTGGAAGGCAAACCGCTGTTGCCCTCATTACTAGGAAAAAAGGGTCAGTTTCTGGCAACTGTAATGCTCTCTAAGGACCTTTAAAGCAATGGTTTTAAAGCTTTCTTTTTTGTTCTTATTTAATCTCTCCACAAACAAGCTGTAGGGTTGTGCTTGGCCAGACCAATATTAAAACTATTATGAGGATGACTTGTTTATATTTTCACTTGCAATGTCATATACAAGGTTATCTAGTCCCATCGGTAATAACTTTATTGGCACGGACAATAATGGCGGAGAGTTAAAGTTACAATAAACAATGTCACTCATACTAAAATAGATACACTATTGTCCCCCTCTTTTTCCTCTTGTAACATAATAAACTTGATATTTGGTGCTGAACAAGTGAGTAAGCACTTTAAACAAAGCAACATGACATTCCTAATGAAAGACATGTAAGCAACATTGGAAAAGACAGCCATGAACATTTGAGCTGCTTTGGTAATCAAAACACGCAGTCATTCAAATACTTAAAATAGCAGTTTGGCCTTATCTCTCCATAACAGTAATGCAATTATCTTCAGCACGGCAGTGAAGGTTAGCAGTCTGTGACAAAGTCAGACACAGGGCTGGTATGACTCACAGCTTCCCCTGCAAGTCTCTCCAAAAAAAATTCAACCTCAGCAGGGGATGTGAATATATCGGTAGACTGACTGGTACTGGAATTTAGACACATTACAAGCCCAAGTTTACATTCAGTCTGTTAAAGGCTTTCTGATTTATTCATGGCTTGTCCCTAATGTGGTTGTGCTGCAAATGCAAGATTATCTCAGTCCAAATGCAGCACAGCAAACAACATGTACTGAGCATTATTGTAATATACTGTGATACATTAGTGTTATACAGCCTCTTCTTGTTTTCCATTAGCACTGGTTTATCCTTGATTTCATTTGATTTTTTTCTGTTGCACTTAACCATGCATTTCAAATATAGATTTACATTTACATTTAGATACAGTGCAGGTGTTTCAAATGAAAGCGAGTGTGCCTGGTACAATCCACACACTGTGTATTTTGCATAACAAAGGCAAATACCCAGAAATTACAACAACACCTCATGCTACCACCCACATAACAGTGATCTAAGAAATTGCAGCCGTTGTGATAAAGAACGTTATAGCGTTGAGGAAAAGCTGTCAGTTCACTGAGTGGATTCTGCAATCTGGCTAATTAGAGTATCTTTGTATCTTCTACTACTGCCTCCTGGGACATCAGCTGTTTGCTAATGAATCCTGTTTCTCCAGGCTCAACGTAAGGACTAACATGTACTCTGCAGGTCCAGTGGCAAGTTGATGCATTAGGTTTTATATCCTCAAGTCTGACTCTGCTACAGCACATTTATATCAAACAGAATATGAAAAGGTTAAGAGGCCGAGCACCAAATGTTGGAGAGTAAATGTAATAGTATGCAAACCCTGCTTTCTCTAATAATAATAAAGAATTGCACAGAGCCATGCATCTTACCTCGGGGGAGCCCAGTCATGCCGTGTACAGTCCAACAGGGTGCCCACATATGTCTTGTTTCTCCAAGTAACATTGACCACTAGCATGCCTGTAAAACAAACGATCAAAGATTTACATATTTATCTTACACCACCTATTAGAATATATTAAAGGAAGTGGATAAAATACAGCTCATATACCAAACAGAATATTTTACTGCGAAGTCCCTACATAACAGCAAAATGTAAGGAAAATGATGCTACAGCCATAATGCACTGTGTTAATCTTCGCTAAAGGGTGTCATATGGAAGACAGTTTTACAATTCAAAGGATCCTTTTTTTAATCTTCTTCACACAGTAAAGCCGTGGGGGCAAGACTGACTGATATCTTCTAAATGACTTGGAACAGACTCAGCTGCAGTCGGTATTGTAAAACCTGTAAAAATAGACACTTGCAGCAGGTCTCGCTGAGAACGATCGCATCGATTTTACCGGGAAATACTCACACAACACCCATTCGATTTAAATAAGCCATCTCAAAGTACAAGAGAGTTCCCTGAGGGACAATTACTTAGATGCAAATATTTTCGGCAAAACTTCTATCTCGCTTTGTAGCCCAAAAATTTACAACCTTGGAGAGAATGTAGAGGCAGTACCACAGCTTATGAAAAACAAGCAACAAGCTCCTGGGCTCAACAGATTTCAGTGAGGATGGCTCTTTCTGACAATGTGCAAAGAAAGCTACTTGACTTCAGTGGCATTCCAGCAATCTGTCACACTTAGAAGCTTCTGCGTTGCCTATTTGGCTCATGTGAATACTGTAGCATTCGGTGTGAGCTACACGATCCCACTTGTGCTAAGTGTGACACCCGAGCTCACGTTTTACAGTCTAAAATGAGAGATTCTAACATTAGAGATAAAATTAAGATTCGTTTAAGATTGCATTAACTAAAATCCTTGTACGTGGATGTTTAACTGCGGGAGTACGTTTCATATCAATTCAAGCCACATTCCACACGGCGGCTCCTGTTGAAGGTCGTTTTAAATGGACGCTGCGACGGCAGGCAAACGAAGGATAATCCGAAGATTTGACCCGTAAATTCAGAAGTGAATCATCAACCAAACGGCTACAGTGGTTCAGGAGCAACGACTGTGCACAAACACATTCTGAATTTATTGCCCACACCATCCCCCCTCTCTCTCTGCTGGTGACCTCAGCTTGCCACTTCAGCACTGCAGAGAAACTGGAGGCTGCAGTGAGCTAACTTATCTAATGGCACAGGAATGCTGGCTGGCAGCTTCCATCCCTCCGAACATTTTATTAGCTTAGGAAACCTCTCTTGCTCACCCCATTTTCCCTCTCTCCTTCACCCTCACCCTCATTTCCTCTTTTCAATGGTATAACCATCCCTGGCTTACAATCTTTTCCCCTCCCACACACACACACAGTTCAAGTCACAGTTCAGACCTCATTTTTCTCTTGCTGCCTCTGGCATAAAGCAGCGAGTGTATAAGGCATTTATATATGTTTACAGGAACCTGCTGACACTTGGCTACAAGTCTCTTCCTTCAATCTATGGCTCAAAAGCATGAATGTTGGGTCCACGCAAGATCCAACTGCAAATGTCATTTGTGTGTGTGTCTGTGTGTTACGTAAAGAGAGGTTCTCCAGTTCAGATTTCTGTCACATTAAAAGAACCCAGACCCTTTCTGAAACGCCTTCAACAGCACCCTCTCCCCACCCCCCTAAGCTCTCCAAACACTCCAGCACAAAATGGCTCTGGCAGCTGGTCGTGGCAGGATGTAAATCAAGGCAGGGCAAATGAATGAGTGGCCTTTCATGATCTGCAGGATATAGCCTTCCCGGCGTTCTCTAGAGAAGGGTTTAGAAATTACACTACGAGTTGTTAAATGATTTAAAATTAGCATTTGGTCTTTATGTTTGACTGTGTCTTCAGTCGCTGGAACAATGCATGAGCTTAAGAGGGAATTAAGTGTTAGTAATGCCAGCAGCACTGATTGAGACACTTAAAAGGGGAAAAAAAGCATTTTCAGATACACATTTCTTTGCCATTTGCTTGAGTCAATAAGAATTTTGACACGACCGCCTGGAAGAGAAAGCGACACATATATTAAGCTTTACACAGATTTACTCGAGCTCAATCAAAGTGAATGAGTGGTATCTCTTAAACCGTTTTTGAGCCACTACAAAGGTTTTCCATCACAACTCAGGTCTGAGCTCAGTTATCAAGGTCTTTGACAATCTTGTTCTGAAGAAATTCCACGCCGCATTTTATCTTGTGATAAGCATCGCTGTCTTGTTGGAAAATAAATCTTAAGCCACAATCTATTTGACACTGGCTGTTTTGCATGAGATTTTCCTCAGGAATTTCCCCATCTTTCCCTCAGCTACAGCTATCATGTGACAGCCAGTGAAAAGCAGATCACAGCGTAGGGTTTCAAATGTTTAACCTCGTGTAGGCAAAGTGGAGGACGGGTGATGAGAATAGATGGCGTGATCAATTTGCATTTGCAGTCTAAATAGCTTACCGATTTGATTGGAAAGAAATATTATGAGCGGTCCGAGCAAAGGGTCAATTGATACCTTAATTATACTATAAAATGCAAAACATTCTGGAAATCTATTGGGGATGCAACAGGAAGTGTCAGAGGGTCATAAAGAATGTGTTTATCATTGTATGCTTCCTTCAGTGATGACAAACAGCATCATTAACAATATCACAGCAACACGTGAACTATACTTCTACATCAGATCTACCAGAACCCCATTTTAACCCTACGTCACGACCTTGTATTTAACCTGACGTGCACCAGATAAAAGGAGTTTCTGGTTACTAAGAAGGTTAGGATGCAGATTTCCCACAGAAGTCTACATCAAGCCTAAGGTACTTGATAGTTTTAATTGTATGACCCTGGTAAGCCGATATTTTGTATGCGCCTTTACTCTTCAACACAGCCTGAACTCTCTTAGGCAAGCTTTCTTGGTATTTCTTAATACCAGCTCTACTTTGGATATTGGCTGCCTTTTGTTCAGTTCTTTGTCAAGATGATCCAACACTACTTCAGTAATGTTGAGGTGTTCCTCTGTGTGTGGCTGTAGACACTCACCTCTCTTCTGACCTCCTCTGTACATAGTAACACTGATTTGAAATAAAAATGTCCAAATTTACATTCATCACTCCATTAGACCTGTTGACACAGATTTTCAGTAGAGTTCTTGTGTGATTTGGCATAACCTGGCCATTTCTCCCCATTTCCCTTCCTAAAGAATGGCTTCTTGACAGCCACCCTTTCATTGGGATCATTTCTGATGAGACTTCAGTTAACAGTAGAAAGGCCAGATGCATCTCTCAAGTCCTATGTCAGGTCTTTACTGCATTTTTCCTCCCTATTTCTTAAAAACATAGCTTTCAGATATTGTACAACATGCAGATAATTCTTTTAGGCCTGCTGCTTATTTAGTCCTCCTCTTGTCCGTTTCCTCAGATTTGTTTAAGGACTCACTGAACACCACGTTGAGATATTCCAAGTTTTCAGCTAATAGCTCTTTGAAAATCATCTTGTTGGTGCAAAAAGTACTATTTTATGTATTGTACACTGTTATCTTTAACATTTTTCATACATTCTAAAAAGAAATGAAAACAAGTTTTGTTTGATTTTTACGGACTGCTACTTACAAAGTATCTAAGGATATTAAAATTTAAAAAAAATCTTTGCCAAGTTATCTGTCATTCCTTTAGTTAGGTGACTTTTTACTGCCTGAATAGGTCACTGTTAAGTGGCTAACTAAAAAAAACAAACATTCCTCTAACAATGATTAGTTACAATGACTAGACTGAAAATGAATAAAAAAGTAGCCAGTGCCCAAAGAAAAACTTTGAAAGATCTATTGCTCAAAATCACACCAAAACAATTATATCTGGCTACTTGGAAGTAAAATATAAAGAAATGAAGGGTGGCTTAAGACTTTTGCACATTAGTGTATTGTACTCCAATAGTTCAGAGTCAGTGACAGTGACCTTTTGTATAATCCATGTTTGCTGTTGTCTCTTTTCCCCCACAGAGGTACCTTCCTTTTGGCTGCTTTCCCATGCTGAAGCCAAGCAACCCTGTAATCCTGTCAGCGGTCCTTGGCTTCTGGGTCAGCTCAGATATCTGCTTCTAACCTACTCTGAATGCTAATAACGTAGTTCCTTGAATGTTATCTGGGACACCTCAAGGACATTTAAACAAGTTGTGCTGAAACATTTATCAAAATTAGAGGAAAAAAAGACTTTACGTGTGTATGCTGTGCATCAATTAGACACAGTATTACCTGCTTACTAAGTAATTAAAATTCACTCCTCATCATGGGGAGTACTGGTATACGTTTTCAGTGCTGACACTTCAGTAGTTGTATCAGAGCTTGGTAAGTCAAGTTGCAAGCTCCACAGTATCAGTGTGTCAGAGATAAACAAAGCTTGGTTTGCCCCATACTAAAAGCAACAAGGATTAAAAATTCTATTACACAACTGTCATCTTGCAAATGTCTCAAAATTTCTTCCGTCCTGGTAATTATTTACTGTAGATGATACTTTATGAGCAACACTCTAAATTCTTCCTGCACTACCGAGTAGATGACATTTACACTTCATTAAGCAACCGTTATTGTATATTGATGGCATGAGTAGCTGATTGCACAACTATTCCATCTTTGAGAAAATTAATATTTATGCAGGTTATTAAAAAAAATCTGATGCTTCATGCTTTCATTTTAATGCTTAACATTTATTACACTTTACATTGCGTAATTTTAACTCAGCTACTCAAAGTTTTGACAGGGGTTTCGAAATCCACTGAATTTCTTAGCCATATCAAAAATATGCCCAAGGGTATGTAACAAGATCAGGTTTCAAAGCTGGAACTGAAAAGCTGTTTGAATTTATCTGCACACTTTCATCCTTGGAATCATTTTGAAGCCGTTAGGACAAAGATGTCAATGTCATGTCTGTCTAAACACGGAAAGCCCTCGACATAACAACCCAAACAAATTTCCCTGTGGCAGAAAGCAAATTACACAAGGAGAACTTTCCATGCGTGATCATTTGT